CACTCCACATTCAGAACACACACACACTCCGCATTCAGAACACACACACACACACTCCGCAGTCAGAACACACACACACACTCCGCAGTCAGAACACACACACACACACACACTCCGCAGTCAGAACACACACACACTCCACATTCAGAACACACACACACTCCGCAGTCAGAACACACACACACACTCCGCAGTCAGAACACACACACACTCCGCAGTCAGAACACACACACACACACTCCGCATTCAGAACACACACACACTCCGCATTCAGAACACACACACACACACTCCGCAGTCAGAACCCACACACACTCCGCATTCAGAACACACACACACTCCGCATTCAGAACACACACACACACACTCCGCAGTCAGAACACACACACACACTCCGCAGTCAGAACCCACACACACTCCGCATTCAGAACACACACACACTCCGCATTCAGAACACACACACACACACTCCGCAGTCAGAACACACACACACACTCCGCATTCAGAACACACACACACACACTCCGCAGTCAGAACCCACACACACTCCGCATTCAGAACACACACACACTCCGCATTCAGAACACACACACACACTCCGCATTCAGAACACACACACACTCCGCACACTCAGAACACACACACACTCCGCACACTCAGAACACACACACACTCCGCAGTCAGAACATACACACACACACACACACACACACACACACTCCGCAGTCAGAACCCACACACACTCCGCAGTCAGAACACACACACTCCGCATTCAGAACACACACACACTCCGCATTCAGAACACACACACTCCGCATTCAGAACACACACACTCCGCATTCAGAACACACACACACTCCGCAGTCAGAACCCACACACACACACACACTCCGCAGTCAGAACCCACACACACACACTCCGCATTCAGAACACACACACACACACTCCGCAGTCAGAACCCACACACACACACTCCGCAGTCAGAACCCACACACACACTCTGCAGTCAGAACACACACACACACACACACACACTCTGCAGTCAGAACACACACACACACACTCCGCAGTCAGAACCCACACACACACTCTGCAGTCAGAACACACACACACACACTCTGCAGTCAGAACACACACACACACACTCCGCAGTCAGAACCCACACACACTCCGCATTCAGAACACACACACACTCCGCAGTCAGAACACACACACACTCCACATTCAGAACACACACACTCCGCATTCAGAACACACACACACTCCGCAGTCAGAACCCACACACACTCCGCACATTCAGAACACACATTAAGACACGCCACACACACACACACTCTGCACACTCAGAACATACACACACACACACACACTCCGCAGTCAGAACACACACACACTCCGCAGTCAGAACACACACACACACACACTCCGCAGTCAGAACACACACACTCCGCATTCAGAACCCACACACACACACTCCGCAGTCAGAACACACACACTCCGCATTCAGAACCCACACACACACACTCCGCAGTCAGAACACACACACTCCGCAGTCAGAACACACACACACACACTCCGCAGTCAGAACACACACACACACACACTCCGCAGTCAGAACACACACACTCCGCATTCAGAACCCACACACACTCCGCAGTCAGAACACACACACACACACTCCGCAGTCAGAACACACACACACACACTCCGCAGTCAGAACACACACACACACACACTCCGCAGTCAGAACACACACACACACACTCCGCAGTCAGAACACACACACTCCGCATTCAGAACCCACACACACTCCGCAGTCAGAACACACACACACACTCCGCAGTCAGAACACACACACACACACACTCCGCAGTCAGAACCCACACACACTCCGCATTCAGAACCCACACACACTCCGCATTCAGAACCCACACACACTCCGCATTCAGAACACACACTCCGCAGTCAGAACACACACTCCGCATTCAGAACCCAGACACACTCCGCATTCAGAACACACACACACACACTCCGCATTCAGAACACACACTCCGCAGTCAGAACACACACTCCGCATTCAGAACCCAGACACACTCCGCATTCAGAACACACACACACACACTCCGCAGTCAGAACACACACACACACACTCCGCAGTCAGAACACACACACTCCGCATTCAGAACCCACACACACTCCGCAGTCAGAACACACACACACACACTCCGCAGTCAGAACACACACACACACACACACTCCGCAGTCAGAACCCACACACACTCCGCATTCAGAACCCACACACACTCCGCATTCAGAACCCACACACACTCCGCATTCAGAACCCACACACACTCCGCATTCAGAACACACACTCCGCAGTCAGAACACACACTCCGCATTCAGAACCCAGACACACTCCGCAGTCAGAACACACACTCCGCATTCAGAACACACACACTCCGCAGTCAGAACACACACACACACAAACACTCCGCACATTCAGAACACACATTAAGACGCGCCACACACACTACGCAGTCAGAACCTACACACACACACTACGCAGTCAGAACCCACACACACACTTCGCAGTCAGAACACACACACACACACCCTGCAGTCAGAACACACACACACACATTCCGCACATTCAGAACCCACACACACACACACACTCCGCAGTCAGAACACACACACACTCCGCAGTCAGAACCCACACACACTCCGCATTCAGAACACACACACACTCCGCATTCAGAACACACACACACACACTCCGCAGTCAGAACACACACACACACTCCGCATTCAGAACACACACACACTCCGCATTCAGAACACACACACACACACACACTCCGCAGTCAGAACACACACACACACACACACACTCCGCAGTCAGAACACACATTAAGACACGCCACACACACACACACTCTGCACACTCAGAACATACACACACACACAGTACACACACACACTCTGCACACTCAGAACATACACACTCACTCACACACACAGTACACACACACACACACACTCTGCACACTCAGTACACACACACACCACACACACACACACACTCTGCACACTCAGAACATACACACACACACACACACACACAGTACACACACACACACTGTGCACACTCAGAACATACACACTCACTCACACACACAGTACACACACACACACACTGTGCACACTCAGAACATACACACTCACTCACACACACAGTACACACACACACACACTCTGAACATACACACACACACACACTCTGAACATACACACACACACACACACACACACACACAGTACACACACACACACTCTGCACACTCAGTACACACACACACACACACACACACACACACACACACACACACACACTCTGCACACTCAGAACATACACACACACACACACACAGTACACACACACACTCTGCACACTCAGAACATACACACTCACTCACACAAACTACCATTCTAACTAAAATAACAACAGCTACAGACTCACTTTCTAAAGCAACGATATTCACACCCTTAGCGTTGCTCACTCTGAGTGGAGTCACTCTCAGTGCTGCTCACTCCCAGTGATGGTCTTCACCCACAGGAGACGGTTCTGACTCCCTGCTGCCCAACAGGAAGTCATGACTCTGAGGAGGATTTCCTGCCATACGTCCATCTCAGTTTATCTACAGTCATTTAAATCAGTAACACACTCGTGTGCGTGCACACACACACACACACACACACACACATTCTCACAAACACACACACACTCTCACACACACACACACACATTCTCACAAACACACACACACTCACGCAAACACGCACTCACCTCACACACACACACACACACACATTCTCACAAACACACACACACTCACGCAAACACGCACTCACCTCACATATACACACTCACACACAAACTCACACACATTCTCGAAAAACACACACACACACACACACACACACACACACACACACACACACACACACTCACACACACACACACACACACACACACACGCAAACGCACTCACCTCACATATACACACTCACACACACACACACACACACACATACATACACACTCTCACACTCTCACACACTCACACACACTCTAAAGTGAATTTCTGCCATAATTATCACAGGCCGATGCTGATTCTACTATAAATACCGAGTGAAGTTTAGGTTTGCGGTGCTGTAAGTTTTGGACGTCGTGCTGTAAGAATCAGCGTCTGCGCTCAGTCGGCTGGACTCCGCAGGGCTCCTCTGATAAGCCCAGCTGATAAAGCAGGCTGCTCCTGTATCTCTGCGTTAGCTCGCTAATTACCCCAATCACGATTATCCGGCTCGGAGACCTGCAGGCTCCCACCATCAGGACAAAAGAACCAAGCTTCCTCCGTACAAACTCAGAACACAGTAACCAGAACCCAGAAACCAGAACCCAGAACACAGAACCACTGACCAGCTCTGTGTTTGCAGGCCACCTCAGTTTAAGCCATTATCACTGAGATAAAACTGGACAGCTCCCTAATAAGGTGCTGAAATCAGATCAACGTTGTTTACCTTCCAAATTAGTAAAGTAAACCGGTTCCGTTGTGAACGTCTGATTGTTTTACTCACCTTCTTAACGATTCGATAATAAAGAAAGAAAAAAAAGTCAGTGGAGTTAATTTTAAAGGAGTCTAAAACGAGACAGAGTCAGATCATTATTGTTAATATTATTATCTGATCTGCATCACAATGCTGATACTGAAGATACGTAAATGAGTAACTGAGCCTCTGATCAATCAGTGAAAGTTTTTCTGATCAATCACAGACGTTCTGAGAATGAATCTTACAGATCATCACACACACAAATCATTTTGGTCAGAACATGACAGACGCACCTTCAGCCACATCAAAGCTTCCCTAATGTTGATTTAATAAACTGCAAATTATAAATCATAATTATCTATTAGTTCTAGATAAGAGAAGAGCGGTAC